GGGCTTGTGCGAGCATATGTCCGCTTGTATCTCTGAGGTGAGTCTACCCTTCCCCAGCTGTGTTGGGAGAGGTGGTGGAACCAACCCCATGTGCGAAGTTGTGCCCACCCACAGGCTCTCTGGGTCTTACAGGTGGGTCGCAGTGCCTGGTGGGGCTGGGGAGTCTGCAGGTGCTGCAGGGACCCTGCACTGGGTCTGTAGACTAGGTGTTTGCATGTCTGTGTCTGAGAGGGCCTGGTGACAGACACCATGTCCCAGGGACTCAGACAGCAAGCCCTCCTTCCCAGAGGGTTGGAAACCAAGAGAACAAAATGCTTTTCCAAGAGATGGGTCCTCTCGGTGAGTGATAAGTGGACATGGTGTGGGCCAAGCCCTCATTCACCCTGCTCATCTCTCCTGCCATAGCCAGGCTATAGCTGTACTACTAATCCTAAAGGATTGTTCTAGGTGTTAGGATGAGCCTTTTGGAAGCCCGAGGGTCTACACAGAAAACAGACTTGAGGTGAAGAAAGCTAAACCTGACTTGGCCATTTGAAACCAGCAACTTGCCTTTCAAATGGGGCAGCATTTGAAATGATCTTTATTTAAGATATCAGCGTTGTTGATAGGAATTGTTACCTACTCTCCTTTCTGGAGGAGTCACAAGGAAGTGTGGAGGAGGCAATTCTTCTGACCTGTCCCAAAGAGCAGAGCAGGCTGGAAGCTTTGGCTATCCCTGACACCTACCAACCCTGATATCACGCAGCAGTGAATGCGCAGGGGACCAGGGGCCCACAGTTTCTCAGACACAGTCCATACAGGACTAAGCAAAAGGCAGACTGACAGAGACATGTTGACTTTGTGTGGATCCCCAGGTGCCAGGACATGCCAGGAAGGGCTGGTGAGGCAGGACAAACCGTCCAACTGAGTGTTATCCAATGTTTGAGGAAAGTCTGCTTTCAGACCCTGTGGCACCGAAATGGAGCCTAGCATACCTGGGGCAGAGCGCCTGCTCTCCTGCCTGTGCTTCCTACCAAAAGGCTGGGGTTTGAATGGGAGAAAGACATCAGAAAGGTTGGGCCCCCCAGTGGGAAGTTCTCTAGGACCAAGATCAGAGACTTCCTGGGGGTTTTCCACCTCATTGTCTACTTACTGGAGGCTCCAGTTCTGGGGGAAGTGGGAGGAGGTGGGACAGCTGGGACCCAGCAGGGAAGCCGCCTGGAGGCTGAGAGGAGAGGGCAGGAGAGGGAGTGAGGTTGAGACAAAAAGCATCAAGTCCCATGCCTTGGCTGTGGAAGAAGTTCCAGAATGGTGCTTCTCAAAAGCCCAGCTACCTGACCTATCCCTGCCCTCTATAGGCAGGGCTTCTGGACACAAAGGGGGAGATAGGGCTAAACTCAAATGGGTATCTCTCAGGATGGGGTCTCCATTTACTTGGGTTGGGTTATCCTAATTCACGTCTCTACTTCTTGCTACTCTACCTCAGCCTAGTCTTTAGGGCTTCCCTCAGGACTGCCTGGGCCTCCCCATGAAGCTTCATAGTTTCAGCACATCTGTGGTGTCTGGTTCCTCTTTAGGGGCACCTCAAAGGGATCTCTCTGTTTGGAACTTTCTGTGGTGTCTCTGACAGGGTTTTCATTTGAGGACGTACTTTGCTGGGTCTGCTCTGTGGACTTTTTCAGCCTGGGGTTGTCTTTGTTTTTGTGGGGTCTTTCAAAGTGGACCCTGCTGTGGGGTCTGTGAGGGTAAGCCCCTCCATGGAGTGTCTCATTATGGGACCCTCTCTAGGGTCTCTCAGTCCAGTATCCTCTTTGTGAAAATTTGATCTTGTTTGAGCTCTATTTTTCCCTTAGCAGTAATCCTGTATCCTGTTAATTCTCTATAAACAGCAATTCCCCTGTGAATTCCCAGCCCTCAGCCTTTGGATACTCCTCCTCAATTGATTTACTGGGTAGAGGAAGGAGGGGGAGCAGGGCACTCAAAGGAGAGCGTGGGCTTATTCCCGGGTCCCCCACTCAGCTCTACATCACTGCAGCCCTGAGTCAGCCCATTTTTTGCTCTGATAACCAGGGTGCAAGCCATGATTCAGGTTGGCCTGGGGCCTCGGCACTTTGTACTTTATAGAGCATCTCTCACACCGGAGCACAAACACCTGAGCGGGCATGAGGTCACCAGACACGGGGGCACCCCAGCTAAGGAGGGGCTCCTGCTCCCAGGCCAAAAACAGGCAGAGGGGTAGACAAGAGTCAGACAGATAGGCAGACAGACAGACAACTAGAGAGGGAAAGAAGAGACAGCAAAACAGTGGGAAGCCAGCTGGAGAGAGGACATCTGGTTGACCCCAGGGCATCTCTTTGTCTGCCCTTCTCACTGTGAGCTGATCCCCATCAGAGTTGGGAAAGAAGAGTCAAGTCTCACAGACTGACAAAAATTAGAGCTCAGAAATACCATTTGGGTTGGAAGGCCTCATGGTGAGAGGCAGTGGATTTCTCCTGAAGGAGAGGCAAAGAGCAGTCTCCCGTAGGGAGCACTGGGGGCTTGGCTAGCTGAAGTGGGATGGTGGGCCCCTTGAAATCTCCCTGGTAAAATTCCCCATCAGTGAGGGAGGAGTCAGCAGGGAACTCTGTTCCCTATTCAAAGATGAAGATGGGCAATGGGGGAGAGAATTGTGGGTCTCTACTTTCCCAGGACAACCTGGAATCCCTCTCCCTCCCAGGTCGAAGATGCTCAGCTTGCAGCCTGGGGGGAACCGATGCCCCTTGGACTTTTCCTCCTGTGGGCTCACACATACATCCTGGGTCACAGACACGTAAAGAGGAGCCAAGGAAGAGGGAGGGCAAGGCCAGAGCCCAACATCCTCCCTAGCTTCAGAGTGCAGTGGTGCCAGGAGAGGTCGATGAGGGTCTGCATCTGGCATCTAGCCTCTTACACAGAGCAGCTGAACCTCCCCAGGGAAGGGAGTGATGGCAAGGAGCCTACTCAGTCCCTGGCTGAGATAAGAACAGTGAGAAGCCCCGCCCCACCCCACACCTCTCTCACTCACCGCTGGCAAGTGCTGCAAGTGCTGTCCGACAAGTGAAGGGTTACAGCGTCTCGGGGAGTTTCGGTGTTGGCCCATTTTTAGGCTGAGACCCAAGAGCTTGTTCCACCCATCAGCCTCAGCCTCCTACCCAACTGGAACAGCTTCTCAGTATCTTAGCATCCTATGGGGTTTAGGAAGAACCTTCTTGTTCTGCCCCTCCATTCAGCTCAAATCCCTGTCCCATCCCCAAGTATCACCATGTCTTTCCTGCAAAAGGTGCATCAAAGGAACAGATGTTCTGGCAGAGTGTGGGGTCTTTGACACTTTCAAAATTTATTTTTAAACATGATGAGGTTACTTTTTGAGTTAATTTCAAGGATGAGTAAGATGACTTCTGGGTATGTTTAAAGGCCTGAGGGAAATGATACTAAAGGAGAGTTTGGTTACAGGCATAAAATTATGGCTTAGCTCCAAGAGCTACCCATCTTAAATGGCAGGAGTTTGAATAAGTTGATTTAGAGAATCTGATCATTATCCCAGCCTTGCTGCCCCTTAAGCTCTTCCTGTCTCCATGAACATTTTTCCTAACAAGTCAGAGTTTGGAGAAAGCAGATGGCTTCCCCGGGTAAAGGACAAATGACAATTGTGCAGAGACACAGTGTCAAAACTGTGTGTTGTAATGGGATTGGAGGGACAGGCACCAAAAATGGAAATCTAAGTATCTGTTTAATAAGTTTGTTTATTCCATGCTGACTTTTGTGCCAGCTACTGTGCCACGTGGTTTTCATTCAGTATTTCATTTATTCTGCACGATAACTCAGGGAATTAAGTTATCTTTACACCCATTTTTTAATTTTCAAAAGTCAGGTTTCAAAGCTGTGCCCAGGATTGACTGTCCAGTTAGCTAGCATGACACTGCGATTAAATCCCAGTCATTAGCCCCAAAAATCATGCTCTGAATTCCAGTGGATGCTGCAGCAGTTTACAAAACTAGCAAGGGGGAGGACTTGCCCCCTCCCTCACCTTCCCTACAGTTTCTGACTTTTTCTCTGTGGGAAAGTGTGAGCTGCAGGCGCCCTGCGTGCTAAGCAATGCCCATCTTAGGGGTAGCCTTGGTGGGTGGCACAAAGCAAAGGCCATTCTCCCTTGGAGCGGAAGGCCACAGCCCTGAAGCCCTGTGCAGATGTGTCCAGGTGGCCCACCCTAGTTATTCTGCATGTTCACGCATGACCGACTCCACAGAAAGTTTCAAACGGCAGCAGGAAGGACTTAGGTTAGGCTCAAGAAGTGCTTCTCTAAATGTAGTACACTGGGAGGGGTGTCGGGGTGTAGTTACAGGGTCTTCACTGCTAGAGGTCTGTGCCATCCACGTGGATGTCCATGGCTGGGGGGTGCTGTACAGAGCCCTATGTATTTACCTGAGTGTCCTCAATTTGTATTTCAAAATATTTATATTTTGAGTATTCAAAAATACTCCTTAAACCACGGGTGGCCCCTATGGTGACTTACCTCATCCCCATTTTTGGGGGTGTCCTAAAGGAAGACCCTTAGGGGTGTCCTAAGGGCTGAAGACCCTCCGCATTCCTCTCCTCATCTCTCTCTTGCAGGGCAAGGCAGTCCCCGCTCCTGCTCAGGGTCATTATAGCCCCAGGGGCCAAAATGTAAATCTCTGCCAGAGGAGCAGAAGTCATTGTCCTAAAAAAAAAAAAAGTAGGTCTTCTTTTCCTGGGGCGGAGGTCCACACATTTCCCTCATCCTGATCATCTCCAGACCTCGGGCGTCCAGACTGCCAACTGCCTGATTACCTGATGCAAATGAACGCTGCCTGCCTGACTGGGATTGGCTGGGGAGTCGGTATGCAAATTGACTCACCAAGACTTTATCTGGTTTGAAAGAGTTAAAGTGCTGCCCCAGAGAAGAGGGTGGGGGTGAGGGGGGGGTCAACATGATTTGAATAAAATATTCTTCTGTCTTTAACGGCTTCAGTATTTGGGTGGTTTAATAAGGAGAAGAGCAGAGAGTGAGTTAGTTCAAAGTTGCCTCTTGCCTTCTCTCTGCTGACCCTGGAGGAGACTTAGGGGCCTCTTAGGTGGTGGCAGCTGTCTTTTGTGGGTAAATGTTTAATTTATTGTAATGAAGCAGGGCAGAGAGGCTGGAGCGGCAGCACTTGGGGGCTGTGACGGGGCCTGGTGTAGGTAGTTTCTGTCTGTGGGGCACTGGCCTGCCTGCCCATCCCTTTTTCACTGAGCAAGTTGAAGGAGTGAAAAGAAGGTAAGGATCCCCCAAAGGGCCTGATCTCCCAGAACGGCAACATAGGAGTGAGGGCGTGATCCCCAGATAGTGGACTGACTTCTTTCTGAAATCAGACAGGGTGCAGAGGCAGGAATTGGGGAAGAAACATGAGAAAGGCAAGGGGTTATCCCGGGGAGAAGGGGGAGCTGGATATATCATGTACTACTTTAAAAAATAAATTCCCCTACTCGCTCAACGAAGTGAGGCTTGAGGATGTGTCCTCTCCTATCTCCTGCTGTCCCTCTCCCCTTGTTAAATTTTTACCAACTGAGTCTGGTGATAGAAGGAAGTGGCAATGAATGATGCGAAGGTGAGAGCCCCTGCAGGAGCACTGAAGAAAGGGGGAGAGAATGGCAAGGAAAGGAGGCAAGCAAGGGAGTAGGGGATATATGCCCCTGAGCTTATGAATATTCTAATGGTTGTATGTTCGGGAATCAGGAATTTGAAAGTCTGATGGTTGTTGTAATTACACATTCATCTTTGCTGTTTCGTTAAAGCCACATATGTCATAGCAAGAAAAATTGTGACCTGTTATTAAAATCAGTTTGTGCTTTCCCTGCAGCTATCAAGATGAGTGGGGATGTAGCTGATTCCACGGATGCTCGTGGTACTCTCAGCCAGGTGGAGACAGGTAAGGATCTTCTCTTCCGGGGAATGGATCGGCAGAAGTTGTGGGAATTGTGGAACAATGTCTCTCGGCTGTGTCTTTCAGCCAATCAAACCCCAGAGCTAGATCTTAGGAAAGAAAGAATTCCCTGGAGACATGGCACATGCCTCTAGAAACGTCAAACAGGAGATAGTGGTCTATAGTGGAACAAAACCTCTGGAATAAAGCTAGGAATGGGCCAGAGCTCTCAAAACAAAACAAAACAAAAAAGCTAGGGAGGAAATTCACTCTTGATGTGCCATTCCAATGCCCTCTAGAAGTTGCCGGCTATGTTCCCAGCTGCTAAGAAAAGGCTGTCATTAGTAGATGGGGACCAGGGCCCTTTCACACCAAATTTCTCAATAGTCCTGCTCAAGGAACTAACCAAAGAGTCCTTGGCAAGAGTTTCTCTTCCAGATTATGTGCAAGTGGGTGGCAGAGAGGAAGGCTTGGTGCCTGGAGATGACTTGGCTTTGTAGAGAAGAGAAAGAGGTCAAGAAAGAATTGAGAAGAAAGTTTCATAGCTCTCTACTTTTAACTCCATAGTCCAAGCCTTGCTTTGAAAACTCCATATAATTAAAAAGAACTTAAAGGATGAGTATAAATGGTAACACCACCAAATAACTTTAATAGCATCCCAACAAGACCTCAATTAGTCTTTCATCTGGATCATTAGAGACAGAGAAATTAGAAGTGGAAGAGAATCGATGTCCCCCAGAGCTAAACTCTTTTCCCAAGTCTTCGGGTGGAGTCTAGTTTTGTTCGCAAAGCTAAAGCACTCGGCATCAGGGGCAAGATAATTCGGGGTCCTGTGGGGACCATTTACTAAAAACTTTTTTACCCCTCAATTTAATAATGACACTGTGTCTATTTGCACAGATAGAGCTCTATTTTGCTTTCTATATAGGGACAGGAGAACTAAGAGACTGCGCCAATTGCGTCCATTTTTCAATGGGTTTGTTAACTGAGATTATTTTTACTAAGAGTCAGTAGAGGGGGCACCTGTTCTCCCCAAATAAGAAGAAAATATCCTGCAATTTCAAGAACTTGAGCATGGCTTTAAGTTAGCTAGAGAAAGATGGCACAATCTCTGCTCGGATACTCTTCCCAAGAGAAAAATCTGTCCAGAACCATGATTCAGAAGCTGGCTCATCCTTTCCTGGAAGCAGGCTGCCTGGAGCCAACTCTGTTCATTTGAGCTGTGTCCCCAGATATACGGGAGTCACAGATAGGCTGGCACTGGTGCTCTGTTATTAGTTACATGACCAAGTCAGGGTAGTAGTGTTGGGAATGAGAAGGAGCTACTTTGGTGAGCCAGGAGGGCAGGGAGTTCAGATCTGGGTTAGGAAGGTTAAGGTGTCGTGGGCAGTCTGAACAAATTCTGGCTTCCTCCCCGGGAGAGTGGGAGCTCTGTACAGACTAAGTTTCAGGAGAAAGAGTCTGGACATTGGCTGGGGCTTTGGGAATCTGACTCTTTTCAGAGTTACTGCCAATTCACTGTGTGATCTTAGACCAACTGCTTTGCCTCTCTAGGAGGTCGGAACAGATGACCTTTGTAGAGTAAGCATTTAGACTCAAACAGACTGGGATAAAAACCACAGCTCTATTGTTTACTGCTTGTATGATCTGGTAAGCTCATTCAGCCTCGCCTCTTCTGTAACGGGGCAGCTTCAGTGTCTCTCTTAGAGCAGGGGGTGAGAGTTATCAGAGCTGATGCTTTTAGCCCATGTGCTGGGCATGGCATCTGTGGCCCTCATTTACCTTTAAGGGCATCCTGAAGATACTGTGATTCTATAATCTACAAAATGAACATCCCCACTCAGTGCTTTGGGCTGCAGGTAGCTGGGGTATATTTCTCCCCTTTACTCAGGCCAGGAAGTTGGTTTTGCTCCTTTCTCTATTCAGAGAAGGATTCTGGGTTTGTCCTTCTGGCCCCCAGCCCGTGTGTCTGGAACTTCCCCATCCCTAGATCTTTCTCATTGAGGGGCTCAGCTCTGTGGCTGGTAGCATCCATGCTTAGGTGATCATCAAATTACTGCATGTTTTTAAGGCAAGAAAAAAGAGGTAGCTAATTAAAGTAACCAAACTTCCTGGAAAGTCGTTCTGACTCATTTTTAAGAGAGGAAAGCTTATTATGAGTCACAATGGTTAGCAACTTGGTTTAATGGCTTCCTTTGGATTTTTAAAAGGCCGATTCTCCTTCCCAGCAGTGCATGAATTAAGGGGTGGTTTGTATCTGGGTTTTAAAGGAACTATAAACAAAGATGACCTAGAAAGCTCCAGCTCCCTGAGAGCACCCTCTGGGTTGTGTGAAATCCCAGGAGGGGTTGGATCTGGAGAAGGGAAGTAATTCCCCACCCACACTGTCCTGTCTGCAAAAGAGGGCACCTGAAGTCCAGACACAGACCTCCTGGTTGGCTGAGACCTGGTAGAGCTGCCCATCTTTCCTTTTCCTTCTGCCTCTGAGGACCCACAGCACAGATGAAGGATAAACTGCCCAAGGCATGGAACCGCCTTGGTGGCCTAGGGGTAAAGTCTCAGTGCTACCACCCAAAGGTCTGAGTTCAATCCCTGGCCAGGGAGCTGACCCACATGGCACAGCAGACCTCTCCTGTCTCACCCGTTGCTCCCCCAGCAGTGTATTTCGGTAGATCTGCCTGTTCTGCTCCCCACTTTGTCTCTGGTGAATCCTCTCTTCCCCCTCCCATATCTCTGGCCTGCACCCCATTTCTCCTGCACACACACAAAAAATAAAATCTTTTAAAAAAAAAAAAAACTGCCTAAGGCCTCAGAACATCTTTGTGGCAGCACCAGGGACCAGAGCAGGTGACCCATCTGCCCCATCCACACCCCTCACAGCTCTGGAGCTGAGCTGTTTCTAGATTTCTGAACCATCAGCCCTTCCTTTTAACACGCTAACTGTTGTTACTTTTCCTTCATTCTTGAGGCTGAAACATTTCTTTTTTACTCCTCAACTGAATGGCTGAGAATATGGCCCTAGCCACCTTATCAGAATCACCAGGCCTATCACAGACACCCCAAAATACCCATGCAGCCAACCCATGACTCTTGGCCACACTGGTCACAGTGCGGTCTCAGGCACAGGGAAGGACAAACCCAGTGGACTGCAGAAGAAGAAGAAAAAGGCCAGTCACATTCATAGGGCACCCACCCCAGATCCAGGCACACATATATGAACCCAGGACTTTGTATACATTGTCTCATTTAATTCTTACTATCCCCATTTTTATAAATGAGGAAATTGTGACTCAGAATGAGAAACATGCACCCAGGAATCAGACTAGGGTCTACCTGGCTTTAAGCTCTGCTCTAACTCCCTGCAGATTATCGGGTAAGTATTTCCCTACCCAGACCTAGATATTGCTCCCCATAAAAGAGGGATTTGGGCTGGATAATTGCTAAGAATTTTGCTTTTCCAAATTCTCTCTCTTCTGTAGCCACACCCTGCATTTGTGTGTAGACCTGTCCAAGGCTGGGCCCTCCCTCCCACTCCAGCTCCCTCCTCCCTCACTTTCCCTTCTGTCCAGTTTCCCTTTCAGAGCCCTCTCCTCTGACACCTCAGCCGCCTTGCTGTGGGGTCTCTGATCCTCTTCTCTTCTCTGACCTAGTTGGTCACCCTCCAGCCGCCAACTCATATCCTCAGGTAGGTGAAGCCACAGTCCTGTCCTCTGGGAGCTTTCCTCCTAGTGCAGGAGGACAATGGGCTTGTGTCTGGAAAACATGCTCTGACACGTCTTGCATTTGACCTTGACTACAATCCTGGGAGAGGATGTGTCATCATTCCAGTTTGCAGATGGGGAAATTGAGGTTTGCAAGGGGGAAAATATTAGCTGATATCCCCCAAGGTTCCATACCTAGCAACTGACAATTAAACCTGGGTCTTGGTGGTGACTTTCTACCCAGTAGTGGTGGTGGTAGAAAGCCTGGGGGCCAACACAGGGCACCGGGGACGAGGACACAAGTGTGGTAGCATCAGAAGAGATGCCAATGTTATGGAGGTAGCACAAGCATAAAGGGCCCCTGGAGGCTGTGTGCGCCTAGTTCTACCAAGAGGCGGAAGCCTTTTCGGGAACCAAGCATGCTTGCTGGCAAAAGAAGGAAAGAGTTGAGGTCAATTCGCTCCATTCTGGTGAACTATAGAGGGTGGAACTTGGAGAAAACACTCCTTCCTCCAATCATCCTGCTCCAGCCTCACCAGTGTACCAGTCCCCACCCCCACCTTCACCATTTAACTGAGGAGTGGGGTGGGCTTGCAATCCCAGAGGACAGTGGAGCAAATGCCTTGTCCTCTACAGAGATTTGGGAGGGAAGAAATCTGTAAGGGGAGTCAAGGGAAGGAAAGAGTTCTTGGAGGGTCTGGGTTTTGCCAGTTGTCCCTTCTGCTGCCCTTCTCCAGCTGCCACTGTCCTGTTTTGTAGGTGAAGTGACTAAGATCTGTCCCACTTCCAGAAAGATCACACAGGCCTATTAGTTGTGTGATGACCCTTTGCAGAAAGTCTCTGCACTTAACCTGAGAATTTTCAGCATGGTTTTAACAAGGAGTGGACCTGATTTCATAGGGCAGCTCAAAGGAGGCAGAGGGAGGCTAGTGATTCTCACAAGTTTCCGGAGAAAGAATGAGTAACTGACCCAAGATGAGAAACTCCCTCTCAGTCAACTCTCTCCCATTCCTCACCATCTGCACCCTACTAGTGCCCAAGCAAGTAACTGAAAATAGAGAAACTGTCTCATCACAACCAAGAGTGAGGTATGAGGCAGAAACAGGCAAAAGACTTTTAGGGATGAAAGTAAGTTAAGTTTTGACCCAAATATTTATTGAATAAAACTATTCCCTTCCCCCCCATTTTTTAAATTAGTGAAGTACCATTGTTTTACATCTTTACTAGTGTTTTGACAATATAGGATTTGTCCCCTAGGTGTGGTTATCATAGATCTCCCACCACCAAAGCACCCACAGTCTTCCA